TAATGCTAATTTGAGTTCTTCATTCTTTGTCCCTTTATTTGCCTTGCTAATTGCTCTGGCAAATGTTTCAAGTGTTGTGCTTAATAGAAGAGGTAATAATGGACATGTTTGTCTTGTACCTGATTTTAGAGGGCATGCTTTTAGGTTTTTCCCATCCAGTATGATGCTGGCTATTGATTTATCATATATAGCTTTTATCATACTCAGGTATGCTCCTTCTATATCTGTTTTCTTCAGGGTTTTTATCATGAACAGGTGTTAGATTTCATCAAATGCCTTTTTTGCATCTCTTGATATGATCATATAATTTTTGACTCGTGTATATATTACATTTATTGATTTGTGGAGTGTTGAACCATCCTTGCATCTCTGGGATGAAACCTACTTGGTCATGATGAATGATCTTTTTAATGTGCTGTATTCTCTTTGCTAATACCTTGTTGAGGATTTTTGCATCTATGTTCATTAACTTCATAATAGTTTACCCTGAGCCTCACTTGGACAGAGCATTTATTTACATACTGACCTGAGCATCATTTAGGCAGGTGTCATTTCAACCAGTCAATTCTTGTATTGAATAAATTTGATGAAATTGTCATTTTTATGTTGTCTTTTATACTATGAAAATTAATGAAAAAATATGCAATTTTTGGTCATCCTGTATTTAAATAATTGGACTAAGTGGTTAAGAAGATTGGCCTATATTTTTCTTTCTTTCTTATTTATTTATTTATTTATCTATCTATCTATCTATCTATCTATCTATTTATTTATTTATTGGTCCCCAGCATTGAACTCAGGTCCCTGTGCTTGGAAAGCAGGCGCTAGAACCACTGAGCTAAATCTCTGGCCCTATATTTTTCTTTTTAAAATTGGCCTTTATCTGATTTTGGGGTCAGGGTGATATGGCTTCTGTAAATGAATTTGAGAACACACCATCTTTTTCAGTTTCTTTGAAGAGCTTGAGGAGTATTGGTAATAAAACTTCCTTAAAGGTTTTGTATGATTCAGAAGTTATTCCATCAGGCCCTGGGCTCTTTTTAGTTAGTATATTCTTTATTACTGTGTTAATTTCATTGGTGATATTCAGTTGTTAAGTATATTTATGTCTTCTTGGGTTAGTTTTAGTAGTTTGTATGTGCCTAGGAATTGGTCCACTTTGTTCTAAAAGGATTTTTTTGAAGTAGTTACTATCTTCTGTATTTCAACAGTGTCTGTTGTGATTTCCCCATTTAAATTTTTAATTGCATCGATATAAGCCTTTTCTTGTTTTCCCTTGGTAAGTGATTTTATTTATTCTCTCAAAGAACCAGCTCTTCAGTTTTTGTTTTTGCTACATGGCGATCAAACTTGGGACCTTGCGCTTGCAAAGCAGGCAGTGGAACCACTGAGCTAAATAAATCCTCAGCCCCCAGCTCTTCAATTTGTTGATTCTTTTTACTGTTTGTTTAGTCTGACTTTCACTGATTTCTGCTCTAATCTTTACAATTTCCCTCCTTAATTTTGCTGATTTGTTGTTTCTCAAGTATCTTAAGATTTCTCATAAGTTTATCTATTTGAATTTGCTATTTTCCTTTTTTTTTTTTTTTTTTTGAGACAGGGTCTCACTATGTAGTTGAGACTGACCTGGAACTCACTATGTAGCCCAGGCTGGTCTCGAACTCATAGTGATCCTCCTGCCTCAGCCTCCCGAGTGCTGGAATTACAGGTGTGCGCCACCACGCCCAGCCTGAATTTGCTGTTTTCCTAATGTGAGCATTGATTTTGATAAAATTTCCCCTTAGAATAGCTTTCTTTCATAGTGTCATAGAGGTTTCAATGAGTTGTATCATCATTGCCATTACCTTCCAGGAATTTTTTAATTTCTTCAATTTCTTCTGACCCATTGGTTGTTTAGGAGTATATTGTTAATTTTCCAGGAGCTTCTGCTTTTTTCCCAAAATTTCTTCTTTCATTGATTTCTATTTTCATTGCACAGTGGACTGATCATATGCATGGAGTAATTTCTATTGTGTTTACTTAAGCTGCCTTTGTAGACTAGTATGTGATTTATTTTGGAAAAAAGTACAATATGGGAAGCAAGCAAGCAAGAAGTACTGTGTGCATCTGAAAAGAATGTGTACTCTGTTGCCAAGGGGTGAAATACTCTGTAGGTATTTGTTAATTCCATATGTTCAAGGGTATGATTCAGGCCTGAAATTTCTTTTTTTTTCATCATGAAAATATTTTTGTTTTTCAGAATATATGTAAGAAAATTTTAAGTATGAGATTAGAGATACAACTTTAATGTTATTAAATTTCCCCAATGTTTAGACTAGATTTTGACAGTGGCTGCTACCATTTCAAGATTATACTCTTACAAATGTAATTTTAAAAAATATGCAACAATCTTCAGTTATTTTGAAGGAGAGTGTAAATGAAGACATTCTTTGGGTCATGATTTCAAAACATTACTTTTAACATTATACTTCCTTTGTTCGCAATCTAATCTGAGTAACAAAATACAGTACTGGATGTAAGCACATCTTCGAATAGCCTTAGCTGAGCAGTTGCATCCACTTAGAACAAATGACAGGAGAATGATTCCGTAACAATGTTCTCCACTTGTCTCACAGCACGTTATACAGTTAAATAAAAATCTGTGGAAATAAATCCATGTCTTTTCGTGTTGTTATTTCAGCTTGATCTCAAGCACAAAACATGTACACAAAGATCTCTTCCCTTCTCACTGCCTCAGCCCTGTTGCCTTACGGATGAGGTATGGCAGGGAAGACCCTTGCCTGGCAGCAAACTAGTAACACTTAGAATTTTATATACAGAATTAAGAGTTCCACGAATCCATCGAATTCCTTGAAAATATGTTGGGCTTTTTTTGGGAAGTATTACTGTCTCCTAGCCAGCCACTGAAAGGCTTTTGTGCAGTAGTATATGCTCCGACCTGGATACAGCAGCACAAGGTGATCTGCACCTGCTGTCTGCTGCTGCCTGACGCATCTATCCTTTTATTTGTGGAGACTGGCGCCAGATTCCCATTTGTGCCGTTGGTAGTGTGGCGGCTGAGCCATTCACAGCAATACAGTCGACTTTGTTCTCCAGCTTCACCAGGCGTTGCAAGATGTCATCCAACAGGACAGCAGTTGTTCTTTTCAGATCAGCACATCCTGCCGTAGAAGCACCATTCTCAACTGTTGCCGTGTTCTTACTTTCCTCCACAAGCGCTTTAACGTATCTCTTGCTTAACTCTGGTGTTTGTTCACGTAACGACCCTGCTTTGACTTCTTGGTTGCTGAAAAGTGCAATGCAGTAACATCACTCCCCAAATGAGTGCAAACGCAAGCACTAATAAACTCAACTTCTGGGACATATTTTTTTCTTGCGATTGTAAAAAACATTCCTGATGAAGGAAACAAATTTGATTATAAAGCAGTAACTGGAGACAAGTTTCCGAACAAAACTTTCGAAGGAAAAACTTCTCTAATATGTGTTCTTCATCTTCGGCGAGGTTGCTCCACTCTTACATTAACTGTGGGCTTCTTGTCACCCTCGCCGCTGCAGCGGGGCTCCGGAGCCTGAGCGGCGCAACCAAAGCCCAGGAGCGGGTGTCAGTGGCGCCCCACCCGGAGAAGCAGCCTTCGGGTTGGGGTGGAGAAAGACCGGGGCATGGGAGTCAGGACCTGAGATTTCTTTATGGGTTCTTTGTTTAGTTGAACTCGGGTCCTTGCCCTTGTGAGGCAGGCGGCAGAACCACTGAGCTACATCCCTGGCCTTAGTTGATCTATCTCTTTGTGAAAATGGGTGTTAAAAAATTTCCTACTATGATTATGTTAGTGTTTATTTAATCTTTTAATATCAGCAGTTTTTGTTTTATGAAGATAAGTGGCTGTAGTATTGGGTGAATGTGTTTATCATTGTTATCTCTAATGGTTTGTTTCATTAATTAGTATGTAGTGACCTTCTTTGTCTTTTCTAATCAGTTTTAACATGAAGTTTATCTGGTCTCATATTGGAATTGCTTCCCCTTTTCAGGGTCCTGCTGCATGAAAGGCTTTCCATCCTTTAATTTTTGGTGTATGAATATCTTTTTGGATTAGATGAGTTTCTTGAATGCAACAGATTGTTGGATTCTGTTTTTGATCTAATCGGCTAATATGTGTCTTTTTTATTTTATTTTATTTTTTGGTACCAGGGATACTCGGGTCCTTGTGCTTGTGAGGCAGGCAGCGAAACCACTGAGCTAAATCTGCAGCCCAAATCTGAGTCTTTTAATTGTAGATTTGAGGCCATGAGCATTGAGATGTGTTGGTTATTTACTATCATTAACTTCTTCATCCTTTTTTTAAATTTACTTTTCCTGATTTTTTTTAATTTAAATTGAATTTATTGGTACATTGTAGGTAGATAGTACAGTTACATTAATTACTGGGATCTTGTACCTTTACATGACAGGTCTTGGCCTGATTTTGTTGTTGTTGCTGCTGCTGCTGCTGTTTATCCATTGATCTCACTAATTTCCTCAGTGTTTGATTCATTGTTGAGAATATTCTTTTTTTTTTTTTGGTACCAGGGATTGAACTCAGGACCTTGTGCTTGAAAGGCAGATGTGGCACCACTGAGCTAAATCCCCAGCCCTGCTGAGAATATTTCTAAGTTTTTGCTCTAGAGCCAATTTAATACTCTTGTATCTTTTTTTAAATATATATACCAGGGGTCGAATTTAGGACCTTGTGTTTGAGAGGCAGGTGGTGGCACCACTAAGCTAAATCCCCCGGCTCCAGTACTCACAGATCTTTTGAGCTGGTCTTTGTCATGGAAATGACTTGTTTCTCTATTACTGTGTGTGTGTGTGTGTGTGTGTGTGTGTGTGTGTGTGAATTGATTTCAGATAAGAACTGGGCGGGGGGAGGTCAGTGACCATTCCTGTTCCTAATCTGTTAGAGCCACATCATCGTGGAACACGCTGAGAAACTAGAGTAACCACCTACTCTCACATCACCCACAGTACTGAAGAAACAAGGCATTATATGGCTTTAGGTTAAATGTGTGTCTGGCGACCTAGTCCAGTCTGTTACACTCCGTATTTGTTCTTTAGCTCTTCCACTTTGTTGATGTGAGCATTCATGGCACTTTCCTTGGATGTCCCTTTCATCTGGTTCCAGACATCCCACTTGGCTTTGCCTTTGAGGTCCAGCATCCCAGCCTGCTCTGTATTTATGTCGCCCACTGTGGCTTGTTTGTAGTAGCTGTAAATGAACAACATCTCTTGGTCCGTTAACTGGGTCTTGAAGTGCTTAACCTCCTCAGCAGCTTTCTCATACTCAGCCTGAGACAGGCAGACAGCGTTAGGAGGGTTCCAGAGTCCACATAGGAGGCGAGAAACAGGAAGTGAGCACTTTATCCGTTTATTTTGAAGGATGGGGCTGCTGAATAGGTTAACCTGAGTTGGAAGTTATTTGCTCTGAGAGCTTGAAATACTTCAAGCTCTTCTGGCCTTTAGGGTTTGTGTTTAGAAGTCTGCTGTGAGTCTAACTGGTTTACCTTGATATGTGATTTGTTTTGTTTTTCTTTAGCTCCTTTAAAATTTTTGTTTTTTTTTTCCTGGATATCTCATAATTTAACGATGATGTTCCTTAGTGAGCTTTTTCCCTCGCAGTTGTTTGAGGTTCTATAAGCATCACTTACTCATATTTTAAACTCTTGTTGTATTTGGGAACTTTACTTCCATGATTTCTGTAAGCATGTTTATGAATCCATTTGTGCTATTTTCTAGTTTTTCGCTAACTCCAGTTAGCCTTAGATTGGTCTTATTGTTGTCATCTAGTGGCTGCTGGATGCTCTTCTCTTATTATCTCATTTTATTTTTGGTTTCTTTGAGCTTTTTATTGTAGTTCACTAGCTTAACCTCAATATCACACACACTCTCTCTACACTGATTATTTCTGCAGTGTATGAATTCTTTTTTTTCCCAGTACTGGGGTTCGAACTCGGGACCTTTTGCTTGTGAGTCAGTCATAGTGCCACTGAACTAAATCCCCGGCCCATGCAGAGTATGAAATCTATACAAATTTTATTTCAAGTGTTTCTGCCTGACAGCTTTTCAAGAACCCCATCGCCTTTTTGACTCTGTGATTCAAATTTGGCAGTATCTTGGTTAGCTCTTCCATTTTATCTACCTTATTTCCCCAAAATTAACTATAAGCGTATTAGTGAAAGTTTTTGGTTAGCTCATCTATTTTTTAAAACATATTTCCCTGAAATTCACTATAAGTATACTGAGTGAAATTGCTTTGAACTTTTGGTTCATTTCCTTTTTGAGTTTATCTGTTTTTTTCATTTCTTATATGAATTTGCATAGATTTCTGCTACCTGGTATCTGTTTTCTTCTTCAGGTGTGCTCTTTGGCAGGGGCTGGGGGGCTTGGAGATCTTCTGTTTCCTTGCTCCCCTGTTCTTCTATGTGTATCTGTGTTTTGTTGTTAATACATATATCTTTAAAAAATTATATATGGCCCCCCTTTTTTCACCTCCGTTTTTTTGGGGGGGAAGATTAATTCAGGTCCGGCATTAGAGAAGTGAGGAGAGCATGTGGCTTTTATGGAGACCTTTAGCAGGATACTGTCTCCCTGTGAATTGTTTTCAGCTTGTATGTGCAGTGCTAATATTTACCCATTCTGTTATCTAACTGATTTCGTCTCTGTCCCTATGTTTTGCCAGAAGCACCCACAGAGTCAGTCTTACAGGCCTTCTGTATAGTAGTCCTTGTAGTTACACCTCCCCCTTTTGTGCATTCTTTAATGCACCCTGTAGCAGTTTATTATTTGTGTGTTTTTTCTGTAATGGGATAGATAAAGTAGGGTGGGAGAATGGGAGGCATCTGGATGGGAAATGTTAGACTGAAGGGGAGGTTTGAAGAGGGAAATAGTGGTAGATAAGAAGAAAAGGTTGATATTGGGTTTGATTCTACTGGGTTTACTTTTAATTGAGTTCAAAGGTTAGTATTGGGATTTTTCAGAAGATATTTTGTGGGGGCAAGGGCAAGATATCCGAGAAAGAGTGTTTGCTTTGTAATCAAAGAAAGCTTTGTGGTTTTCAGAACTTACTGATAGTGAGTAATCTAAGTAAGATATGAAATCACCAAAGGTTTAGGATAGGAAAAATTGAGAAATAATATTAACAAAGATAGGAGTGACTGTGAGGGAGCTAAGTATGGGGAATTTAAAAACGTGGGAGGAGGAGTTTACATGTTTGGCAAAAGAATTAAAAAATGTTGATAATATTGTCTTAGGGGTTTGAGGTGAAGAGATTAGATAGGGAGCTGTGACGAGACAGAGAACCTAGACACCTGTTAAATCAGAGCCACTGAAAAAACAAATGCACAAAAGTAACGACTTAAAAAACCTAAGAAACCATAAAACAACATAATCCACATTATTAAAGAAAACAAGAAAGTTACAAAAACCTAAACCTATAAGAAGGCTGACGGAACACAGATTAAATATTCCATTCAGACATTATGTACAGTGTACCCTTGAGTTACAATTTGCCTCACGTACAAACAACTTGGGTTACAACCAGAATTTTAGTTTTAACTTCTGACCAAAGTCTTGAGTTAGGACCCTTAAGGCCAGTCTTTCCTACATGGAGTCAATTGAGAAGTCCTGGATGAGTGTCTGTCTAAGGACCCTGAAATCTGCCTGGGAGAAAGTGCGGCCTCAACTCAGGCAGGAGAGACTTTGAAGGCTGTGTGGAGGAGTCTGAGCCTTCACCTGGCCCCATGGTGATGACCCCGTCACCACAGCAGGGTCCGTGGCTCGCAGGTGGACAGTGGTGATGCTGAGGGGCTGGTGGAGGAGGAGCTGTCAGAGGAGCTGTCTGTGGAGGAGCTTCAGCAGCTTCTGGCTGAGCCACACAGAAGGGCAGCTGAGGAGCTTTCTGAGGGGAGGGAGAGTATCAGTAATCAGTGCCGCAGAGTTCTTCTGCATTAAAGGAAAGCCTGAAGAAATGGACACAGCTACAAACGTCTGTAGAGAAGACACACCCAGGCCAGTTTTTGCATTCAGTTGCTTAGTGACGATGTCGTGTCATACTCAGAACAGGGTTAAAGAAGAGACAGAAACAGACAGCCACAGACCAGGTTAAGACCACAGACCAGAAAAGATTGAGACCTAGTGAGCCAGAGCAGGTCCTAGTGGGCTACAGACTCTCCCGAGGAGAGAAAGGACACCAGAGAGTCAGATTCCTCATGTTCTTATGGAAAGGACTCTCCTTCCAAACAGTAACCACCTTCCATTTCTTCCTCCCTTCCTGTAAGTCAAAGATGTCAACTTGAATGGTCAGTACAGTATAAATTGTTGTTTCTGGTAAACCAGGCACATTTTATAACTTTTTGGTGAATACACTAGGAAAATTATTGGTGTATCTGGTAAATTACGCACATTATTCAACCCTTCCTTTTCTTTTTCTTTTTTTATTTTTTTTTTTGGTACCGGGGATTGAACTCAGGTCCTTGTGCTTGCAAGGCAGGCCACCGAACTGCTGAGCTAAATCCCAGGCCCTCAACCCTTCTTTTTATTATAAATATGTTCATTAAGGGGTGCTTTGGGGGTTCAGAGTGCATTATGGGTATTTCCATTATTTCTTATTGGGAAAATAACTGACTTGAGTTATAGCCCTCACGAATGAATTGAGTTTTTAAGTCAAGGGTCCACTGTATTTGATTACCAAGTAGCTTCTTTGCCAGAGAGTCTGAGTGCTCACACCCCAGTACTCCTCTGTTCCCTACACCAGAACACTGAAGCTAACTCAGACTCAGATTGCAGTCATTCTTGCAGAGTCTGATCCAGTCCAAGATTCTGGGTTAGGAGCTCTTGCTGTCTCTCTCCCTGGGTGTGAGTGGTAGATTTGAGTCTATGGCCGTACCACCTTGAACGCACCCAATCTCGTCTGAATGGTGGATTTGGCAGAGAGGTTCACTGGCACTAAATTGTCCCCTGAGTCAGTATTATTTCTGTGCAATCAAATAAGCTACACTAGTAACAAATCCACTACAGTGGTATCTATCAGTGTAGGTGTGAAATAACATACCATGACATCCTATTATGGTTGTCCCTTAGCTCAGAGAAAAAAAAATCCATGGTTAAAGTGTAAGCATCTTAACAACCCAAGGCTTGACCTGCAGTTAATGAGTTCTAAAGGCAGTGGTTGTGTCTTCTCTAACGGTGAAAACAGCATTGAACACTAATTTTATGGGATTAGTTATCTAAAGCCAGGAAGCTGGGTACCAAGTAATGCTAGAGGGAGGAAGAGAAAAAAAGAAAGCATTTTTTTTACATCCTAATATGAAGATGGCAAGGGATTCTAATGATGGTAAGGGTATTTTATATAATTGGAAGGAGATAACAAGAAAAACTGGGTGCGGAATTGGAAGTGAGAAATGGAGAGGAGAAAAGATTCCATGACTGGTATAAATATTAGAGAAAAAGTTAAAGGGGCACAAGTGAAGGAGGGGAGAGGAAAGAAAAGAAAGATGGAGACTGAGTAAAATACAGGAGAAGGAATTCATGTGAAATCTGAATAAAAGGAGGAGTATAAGGATAGGGGAGAATTCCCTTGCTCTTAATAAACTGCATTGGGAGAAAAAGGCAAGAAAAAGAGAAGCACACACATGTAGACCCACTCATTAAAGAAAAAAGGGTCAACTAATGGAAGAAAGGTGTGAAGAAAATGTACAGAAGGAGGGAAACAGCAAAGAACTAAAAATGTAAAGCAAAAATGAGAAAACAGCACAATCAAATAACGAATAAAAATGTTTTCTATTGTTTTGGCCACGAGGCTCTTCCTCAGCCTAGGATTACTGGGAAGTGGATTTTGGGCAGTCTGCCCCGAGAATGTACAGCTGGAGATCTGTTCACAGGGAGAACACGGCACCGCTGTGAGCTTCCAGTCCTCTGCTGCTCAGGCTGAGCCTGGACTCTGACCTCAGGAGCTTGCTTGGTGTGTTCTCCAGCTCCAGCCCTCAGTGGGACTCTGCTCTCCCATGGCTAACTGTCACTGATAGTGAAAAGTCCAAGAACAGGAGGGCTCTGTTTTTGTATACTCACATTCTCTTGATTTAAATTTTCAATACCATTTGTTCTGCTCGGGTCATCAGACATAGGGTTTTACACTGTCTGCATTTAAACGAGGGAAAAATAACAGCCAGGGAGCAGTAGCCCCCGCGGGATATAGGACAGGGAGGGAGTCCACTAAAGCTAGCCCAGGCCCTCCTGACCATTGCCTCACCCTGGCAAAAGCCTGGTGTGTTTCATTTTAAAACAAGTTTTTCTCTTCCGCGTGGGGAAGAGCCACTTTGCCAGTTAAAATAATTCAAAAAGAAAAGAGGTTTCCCCCCTCTTCTCTAAAATCATTGGCATAGCTCTCAAGGCCAGATAGTAAAAAAGAAAAATATGGTGGCAGTTGACACAAGCCTGTGTCTAGCCGCGTGATTCTGTGCAGGCCCTAAGCCTGTACTGGCGCTGTCCACATCCAGTGTGGGCCGCCCTCACCCTAGCATCACAGCTTGAATCCCAGAATACACCGGAACCCAAACTGAGAAAAAACAGCCATTTACAAAACCGGGTAAGTTTAAACCAGGTTAATTTCCCAAAAAACAGTAGTGAACAGACACAGGGATGGCAAGGCATACCACAAGAAATAAGGGAAAAAAGAAAGAAGGAAAAAAGTCTGATGCAGCTAGAAGAAAAAACGAAAATGTCTCATTCCCCAACCCCATTCCTCACAGCCAGAAAAGCAGCAAATAGTTTTCTGCCGACCGTGAGAAGAATCCCCTGATTTCCCACCGAGAGGAGATGAGAAAAGGAAGAGAAGCCTTAAGCCTTTAAGATATTTCTGTGAAAAACCAAAAATGTACTCAGTGGGCCTTACATATTCTCCTCGTGGCTAGCCACGCCAAATAATGTTACCAGAATCTCCTGGCCGGCCACACTGATTAATGTTACCAGGTAGCTCTTCTAAAAGTGGCTTGCCAAATAAACTTGGCCAAGTTTTGGGTTGCTTGCCCCTCCTGGAGTTGCTTTCTAGGTTCTTCTCATCTCACATAAAGAGTTGAATGAAACAAACAAAAAACAGTAGCAAAGTTTGTTTGAAAAAGTAAAAATGAAGAGTAAGGGAGGAACTGGCTTTGCAGAACGAGCTTGGGCCAAGTAAATGAAGGAAAGGCAAAAGTACACCCTGGAGGAAGCAGGGCAGGATGTGATGAGGAAAGCAAGCTCTTTTCGTCTGTGTTCTTTCTTTTTTGGGGTAACAGGGATTGAACTCGGGACCTTGCGTTCATGAGACAGGCGGCAGCACCCCTGAGCTAAATCCCTGGCCTTCATCTGTGCTCTTTTATGCTGTCCAAATCTCAAAGAAACCCTCGAGAATTTCTCCATACAGGTGTGGAGATGGTACTAGATCACACGCCTCCGCCTCACGCAGACATCAGGTCTAGGCCATCCTGTCGAAAACCTGCTCTAGTTTTCATGAGATGTTCACATTGAGGGCTCTGGGAACTGTTCTGTGCTGTGTTCTGGGATCTTGTAATTCACAGGTCACCCCTACTTCTCCAGCCAGTTTTGCTATGCACTAATCTATCTCAAGATAGTGGTGTAACCCTGGTTTTTCACCACTAGTCAATCATTGGAAAACGTCACCTTCTAAATACCTGTAAAAGATTTTTTCCTTTTTGCTGTTGTTTTGTTTTTGTTAGTGCATATCTGCTGTGTATTGATGATATTCGTTGTGAGGCGTTAGTACACGTACACAACACATCTTAATTCTCCTTTCCCTCTCTTCCCTCAGTTACAATTCCCCCCTTCTCCATCTCTTTTTTCTTTTTTTTCAGATTAGCTGTCTTTTATTTCGTTCTTTCTTTATATTTTGGTTTCTCACAGGGAAAACATGCACTATTTAAGCTTGTGTGCCTGGTTTGTTTCCCTTACCAGTACGGCCTCAAGGTGCATCCATTTGCGTAACAGATGACTGATGTTTACCCATTCATCTGTCGCTGGACATAAGCTGCTTCTATCATTCGTCTGTAGGCGTTGTAAGCGGTGCTGCTGAAACGTGGCTGTGCGTGTATCGCTGTACTATGATATCTTTAATTATTTCAGGAAGATGCGTAGGAAGGGAATAGCTGGGTTAAATGGGGTTTCTTATTTTAGGTTTTTGAGGAGTATTCCTACTGATTTTCATAGGTTGCATTAGTTTACGTTTCTACCATCAGTGAAGAAGGGTTCCTTTTTTCCCAGCATATTACTTTTTTTTTAATATTAAAAAATATTAACACAAGAAGAGTATATTGCTGGGGATTTAGCTCAGTGGTTCGGTGGCCTGCCTTGTAAGCACAAGGACAAAAAAAAAAAGAACAGTATATGAAGAGAATTACAGCAAACAGGTAAGCACTTTGTGTATGTGTGTGTGAGATAAGATCTTGTTATGTAATTCTGGCTGGCCTTGAACTCACTATGTAGCCCAGACTGGCCTCAAGCTCGTGGTGATCCTCCTGCCTCAGCCTCCTGCATGCTGGGATTACAGGCATGTACCACCATGCCTGGCTTGAACACTCTTATTTTTGGTACGGGGGATGGAACTTGGGACCTTGCTCTTGTGAGGCAGGTGGTGGCACCACTGAGCTAAATCCCTGGGCCCTTGAATGCTCTTTTATAATAAACATGAACCAAAAAAATAAGTTATAAAGCATTTGTAAAAATATTTAAATATGCAGAACCAATGAATTGGAAATTATATTTTAAACTTATCAAATAATTAGTTGCCTATAGAAAGAGTATATCAACTAATAAGAATTATAGTTTGTCTTTCAGAACCATCAGGACCATATGTCCCTTCCTCATTTGCTGATGTAAGAGTCCCCAGCAGGGATGAGGAGGAACTTTCTCATAGCCCCACCACACAGGTGTGGGAAGTCAAGGTTGCCCTCACAATGCGGGGTCTGTTCATGCCACACAACCTGTGAAAAAGTCACATACACCCTGCATTTCATGGGTTAAGTCTTATTTGTAATCTGAACATTTGCAAATGAACTCCCCATTTTTGGCTTTCCTTGTAGTTTTGTAGGAAGAGTACAAGCTTTGGATCCAGATAGGTCCTGGGACTAAATATCAAGAGTTTGGTTCATCTATTGTATCTTTTTGGGAAGAGATTTTAATTTCGCTGATCCTTCGTTTTTTATTCATGTATATTCAGTGAGGTAGTTTTTGGAGACAGGGTCTCACTATGGAGTGAAAATGGGAATTGCAAGTTCAAGGCCAGCCTGAACTACCAAAAACTACCTCACTGAATATACATGAACAAAAAAAGGAAGGATCAGTGAAATTAAAATCTCTTTAATTTCTGCTGGGATTACAGGTATGTACCACCACGCCCAGTTTATTCTAAGATTTAAAAAATACCAAGTGTCTGGCATAAAGTAGATCCTTGACAAATAATATTCTTTCTGTTTATTTAATTTAAAAATTGTTTAATAATTATTTGTATATCCCAAGTTTACTTAAAAACACACAAAATCAAACCAAGAAATAACATTATTTAACCATATTGAAGGCTTCAAAATATATCTCCTACTGGTGAAAATGTACAAAAATCTGCAATCCTTATATTTTATAGTTCTCTTTGGAAAATATAATCTCTTTGACTTTTAAAAACTCACATTAAAATATCATGAGAATTGTAGCAAACTTGTAAAAATCTTACAGTATGTACTCCAGAACCCAGGTCATTGGTTTTCTGCAGGAAATAAAAGTCAGGAAAAATCTTTCTGCCTTCGTGGTAGTTAATGCCTGTGTTCTAGAAATGACTACTATGTTTCTGCTTTAGAAAGAAACAAGGAAAACATTGAAGTAAAACGGAAGAAACGAATTTAAAAGCCATTGTAAAGCTTCCGTTAAGTCGCAGTTTCTGTGGTGGTGTACGGTCCTCGTGAGCATGTTCTGCGGTGCCCATCTGTGCGCTTTCTGTCCCTGCCAGTGCGCTCTAGCTGCTGATGAAGTGCTGTTCAATCAGAAGGAGCTGGAAGTGAAGGAGCTGAAGAACCAAGTGCAGATGACGGTAGAGGAAAACAAAGGACACGCTGTGTCTTTGGAAGAAGCACAAAAAGTGAATAGGTTACAGGTAGAATTTCTTAATTTATCTAGCTCTATAAATATAGCACCTAATAAACGGAGTAGCATTCAGAACAATTAATGGGTACATTTACAAAAGTATATTTCAGTTGGAGAGTTCTAAACATGGCTACCAGACAAAATTCTAGTTTTCCCCTAAATCAGGTGAAGGGGAAAACATTTCACAAATACGAAGATAGTACCGGGAACTTAGCTCACGAATCAAATTGTGGCTATCTTGTCTCCATGCTGTTCCTTCAGTTGTTTGCTGAGGTGGTAGGTAGTGTGGTGTGAACAGTTGGGATGGAGGCCTGGGATTGTAGCCTAGTGGAGAACACTTGCCTGGCATATATGAGGCCCGGGTCAGATCCCCGGTACTCCAAAAACAAATACCCCAAGAAGCAGTCCAGAACATGTCTGCAGTGGACAAAATTTCAGTATAGTGTATTTACCATGTAATGGCTCAGACAGAGTGAGGATGCAAGTCTCCTGGTCTCAGTTAGCTGATGGCTGAACCCCATGATGCTGACTGATCTCGGGGTGCAAGGCCCAGATTGAGTTCCCCATCCTTCCAAATGGTTGAACTCCGCAACGTTCTATTACAGGTTTCCCACGCCCTTTCTTTAAAGATGTTCAAAGTTGGGAACTCAGAAAAATACCCTTGATGACCACCTCTGTCTTTGCAGAGTGGGTCCAAAGACTTGCACAGTCAGGAGGTCTTAGGATGCAAGACCCCTGATCTCAGTTAGCTAATTGCTGAACCCCATGACGCTGACTGACCTCGGGCTGCAAGGCCCAGATTGAGACCCCCATCCTTCTGAATGGTTGAACCGCACAACGTTCTATTACAGGTTTCCCACGCCCTTTCTTTAAAGATGTTCAAAGTTGGGAACTCAGAAAAATACCCTTGATGACCACCTCTGTCTTTGCAGAGTGGGTCCAAAGACTTGCACAGTCAGGAGGTCTGAGAGTGTGTGTGGGGGAGGCTTATGAGGGTTCAGGGGTGTTTGAGCGATGGCGGCTGGGTCGGGAGCTGGCATGGTTCTCCTTCCCCCGGTGGATGGGGCCCAGGCTTCCTCCTGGCGCTTGAGCAATGGCGGCTGAGTCGGGAGCAGGCGTGGTTCTCCTTCCCGTGGTGGATCGGGGCCCAGGCTTCCTCCCGGCGTTTGTGCCTCACTTATTTTCATGTCAAATTCTTTTTTCCTGCTTGGAAATTTTCTGCCATTACTTCTCTGAATAAATTTTTTTATGTTGTTTGCACTCTCTCCTGCTTTTTCATTGACTCTGATCAATCTTATGTTATTCTTCTTGGTATCATCTAGCTCCTGTTATATTGATTTTCTGTGGTTCCTTATTATTTTTAAGATATCTTTGTTTCCATGGTTGCTAGCTCCAATCCTGTCTTCTGTATCTGATTTTTTATCCTCACATTGGCTCATTCTGCTGTCTATATTCTCAATGGAACTTTTAATCTTCTGCATATCTGTTTGAATCTGTTCATGGATTCCATTTCTTTCCTGTGTTGGGCTTGTGTTTATCACCCTTAGACAATCTCAATCTTGGCACACCAGGAAGGACAACCAATTAGAACAACTGTGTCACCTTGGCTAAAGTAGTACACTCAGCAAAAACAATAGCATCAAACACAGCCTAGAGAATGACAAACTGTGTAACCATTAATTTGCCACCTTTAACTGTATGAACTAGACTTGTGGTTAATAACAAAATCTGAACCAAACCAGAAAAATGTATATAGTGAATATTCCCTCAGTATGGTGATGTTATGCTCAGGGGAGAAAATTTAAAAGAGATTAAGGAAAAAATAGAGAAATTGAAGGAGAGGAAGAGATTAGAAGCATGGCTGTAGAACAAAGGGAGATTACACAATTTGGGAAACTGATAAAGAAAATGGGGGAAGAAAGAAGAAAGAAAAATAAGAACAGAGAACAACAACAATAACAAAAAGAAAAAGAAGAAAATAGGAGAAAAAAAGTTCACATCAAAGTGTGTCTTAGCTGTCACGGGTAGACAAAGTGGGCAGACAGAATCCAGATCTGTTTTGGTTAATCCCAATCAGCCAGCCATAGATTTATGGTGGGGTAGTGGGTAATCCCAGCAAGTTTACAGTTTTAGTTCTGAATCTCAGGCTGGTTTCTAGCTTTAAGGCTGAAACCTATTTTTGTTCAGCCTGCAATACAGTGTGTGCCTCCTACTGGCTTGAATTTGGCTCCTTGACCTCCTGCTGATGTGAACCCTGTTTTGCCTCACCTTGATGGAACCAGCCCACAGCTACTCTTGAGTTCCAAGCTCAGTTGGCCCTTCTCCAAGATGACTATTGGCCAGTTGCCCTCTCCTGGGGGATGTCTTAATCTAAATAAGTCACCAGCTACTGTAGTCCACTGTGTAAACTGCTCCATTCCATTGATGCATTTCTCGGTGGAGGACTCTGGGGTCTCCAGTAGTCACTGTGGGTCTGCAGGTTTGAGTCAAACTTCCCATGCAGTGAGTCAGGGCTCAGGGAGAAAGTGCCACTTGCCGCCTCTTTCTTTTTCATTGAAGACTCTCTATTTACTCTCTCTGGTGGGTTTCAATTCTTGTTTCAGATCCTTACTGGGTCCCAGGAATCCACTTCCCTCCCTCTTCTCTTCCTGACATTGTCTGTATTCCATTGCCCGAACACCAAATATTGGAGAGGCTGTTTTCCTGTTGTTTACCCCTCTGTCATCTTCCTGGAAGTCTCTTTTAATAAAATCTTATTGTCTACAATTCAGAATAATTTGATCTTGTCCTTTCCTATTAGGATGCCCTTTATCTCTTTCTCTTGTTTTATTGCAGTAGCTAAAATTTTTATATGATACTAAATAAGAGTGGTAAAAGTGGGCATCCTTATCTTGCTCCTGATCTTAGCCCTCTAAACTGTCTTAGTTTTTCTCCACTGAGTATGATATAGGCCATGGGCTTTTCATGTACAGTCTACTGTATTGAGGAACATTCCTTCTGTGTCCTATATTTTTGAATGATTTTGCCGTAAACAGATGTTAAGTTTTATTATGTGCTTTTTCTGCATCTATTGAGGTGGTCCTTTTATGTGTGCCTTGGGGGGGTGCTTAGGATAGAACCCAGGACCTTAGGCATACTAGGCAAGAGCTCTATCTTTTAGCTGTACCCTTAGCTTGATCATATGATTTAACCTATCATTTTATTACATTAAATTTATGTTTTCCTGTATTGAACCATCCTTGGATTCCCAAGATAAATCACACTTGATAGTGATGTATAATTTTTTTTGGTATGCAGGGTCTCGTGCATACTAGGCATATGCTCCACCATTGAGCGCAGTCCCTAGCCTGTGTATAATCTTCTTGATGCACTAGTAGATTTGATTTGAGAGTATTTTATGGAGAGTTTTTGCATGTATTTTCACCAGGAATACTGTTATGTAGGTTTTTTGTTATGTCTTTGTCTGGTTTTGATATCAGAGTAATGCTGGTCTTACAGAATGAGTGTTAAATGTTTTCTCACTTTCAACATTTTGAAATGTTGTAGAAGAATGGCATTAATTCTTTAAAAGTTTGGTAAAATTCAGCAGGGAAACCTGGGTATCTCTTTTTTGAACATCTTTTTAAATTAATGTTTCATTTGTATTGTTTTTGGTGTGTTCAGGTTTTCTATATCTTCATGGTTCAATTTTTATAGGATATATGTGTCCAGAAATTTATTCATTCGTTTTAGGTTTTCACTTTGTTATGAGTCCCTCATAATCCTTTGTATTTATATGGTGTTAATTGTAACATCTCCTTTTTCATCTCTGATTTTATTTTTATCTTTTCTATTTTTTCTTAGTCTGGTAAAAGCTTGTCAAATTTATCTTTTCAAAAAAACAACTCTTTAATTAATTTTCAAAAATTAGTGCATGGCTATGTGTGGTGGTACATGCCTGTAATTCCGGCACTTGGGAAGCTGAGGTGGGAGGATCACTGTGAGTTTGAGGCCAGCCTGGACTACAGAGTGAATAGTCTATGTAGTCCTGTGTAAAAAACAAAACGAAACATAAATTAGTGCATGTTAGTAATATAAAATAGTGAGAATCATTTTGGGAAATAGGTACGTCCATATGACTTTTGGGAGGGATCTTGAGGCAGGATCTCATTATATAGTTCAAGCTGGCCTTAAACTCACTGCATACCCCAACCTGGCCTCAAACTTGTATTGATCCCCCGGCCTCAGTCTCCTAAGTACTAGGGTTATGGGCATGTGACACTGCACCCAGCACATGATTTTTTTTTAGTCTGTGGATCAAACCCATTATCTTTACACTGAGTTACATCCCTAGCCTTTAAAAATTATTGTTTTCTTTTCTTTTTGGTACGGGGTATTGAACTCAGGGCCTTGTGCTTGTGAGGCAGGCTGGGTGCCACTGAGCTAAATCCCTGGCTATTTTTTTCTTTTTTGTTTTTTTGGAGAAAGGTCTTGCTTTTTTTTTCTTTTTTTTTTTTCAGTGTCAACACTTTATTTTGGTATAAAGACAGGAAGCTGGAAAGTATACTGTATTTAAAATTTGCTTGGTTCCCCCTCATATGTAGAAACCCTTCCCCCCAGCCCAAGCTAATCTGTTCAAACTCAAATACTTAAAAGTTATAGCAGCAAAACAAAAACATGGAAAAAGAAATCCAGATGAGAAGGTAGCTTGGGCCAGCATGTCACTTGGTATGGATGACTGAGGTGCTGAACAGGAGCTTCTGTTTCTGTTTTTTCCATTTCTTTCCTCCTTTTACAGAAAGAGAACTCACTCAGTTTATAGAATCACTATTAGGCCCTGGCCTTGTCAGATTAAGAGTGTTAGCAGGATCTGGAATTAGACTGCCTGGATTCAAATACTAGTTGTAGCATATACTATGTGCCGTCTTTGGACAAGTCACTTTAGCCTCCCTGGACTTAAGTTTTTTTGTCTGTAACTTGAGAGTTACACCTATTTAATATGGTTCTGGGAAAATAAAATCAGCACAGTAC